CCACATCCATATATATTTTATATATCCATATAAAACCTCCATCCATAAAATAGCTCTTCTCCCATGAGAATGACACTTTGCCAAATTTCAGTGCCCTCCATGGTGCTTCCAGCAACTCCAGGGAACCTCTTTGGGGAGCCAGGTTCCTTTGCTCGCCTGTTGGCCACACGAAGCATTACAGTCACCCCGAAATGACCTGATAACATTATTCGGTTTCCACATTCTGCTGTATAAAGTCATTTTTCTTGCCTGAAATGTAAGTGCATGGCACGTTAAAGTCCCTGTTATTGTATCTATTGCATTGTGAAATACTAGAGCAAATCATTTGAGTGCCAAGTGCTGCAGTAAGGCTTTAAATATCGTTAAGGGAGTTTTTTAGAGTGTGGTTGCTCTTTATTGAGGAAGCACCTGTTCCACACATTTACGGACAGGGCACTGAGGGCAGCAATTAGGCCTCTTGCACCCTTTGCAGAGTGCTTTCCCTTGGGGGGGTGTCCTGGCCAGAAGGCATGCTGGGCACGCAGTGGCGTGAGTTGGAGCAGGAGATGTAGAAGAGTGTAGGTGTCTTTGCATTTAGCATGCACCAGTATTCTCCTGCCTTCTGGCGGGTTATTGGCAGCCATGTTTTAGGTTTTGTTTTTTGAGACTTGTCTCCAACCCAATGATCTTTCCAGTTCAATGAGTAAAACTCTCAGTTCTCAGCACAGTGCTTTTCTGCACATAGGAGATTATTTAACAATCGCGACAGCTTCATAGTATTTTGTCCTGGCCAGTAGTCTAAGCAGATGCATTGTTGTCTTCCTGAATCCAATTTGTAACAATAATGTTTTTTCTGACTGTGTTTCTGGAACCAATTTTACTACTTTCCCTTCCCTTTCTCTGCTAGGACATCCCAGAGAGTGCTGTGCCCTGCCTGTGACTGGTTGTCTTCTCTTTGCCTCCTTATGCTGCCAGTACTCAGAAAATGTCCTTTTTTGTCACAGTGCTGAGAAGGGATGTGGTTAAGAGTTTGAAGGCAGACAACATCTGCAGTGAGCAGCTGGGAAGGTACAGCTCAGCCATGTTTTGGGAACAGATCTGTATAAGATTAATGTGTAGACTAAAGCTCATTTATGTGATAGACCAGTGAGAATCTTGGGCAGCTTTTCTACATGAGACTCTCATGCTAAAAAAAATGAAAACAAAAACAAAAAATTCTTTGGGCCACTTGATTCATTTGATTCATGTCCTCTGTATCTTCAATTTCAAAGCCATTTAGGATGAGCATTTGCACAAACATAAAAGTTCTCTTTAACTAAAGTCAACCAATGTGTTTTTTCAATGAGCTAGAGCTCATAAGAAAGATTCAAACATTAACTGTGTAAAGAAGGCAATTAGTGTTTGTACAATATATTGAAAATTACCCCTAGGCATACTGGAAAAATACATGTTTTAAACATGTATATTCTTCATCCAGTTCCATAGTTTATATTAGATTTGGACATAGATGCTTCTAAAAGCTGCCATATTAATTCAGACTGTGAAAGACATCATAATGGTCTATAAAAAGTTGGGATTTTTACTGTAATGTAGTTGGTCTTACTCTGTATATTTAATCACTCAAGGGAAAATCCTATTCTGCTGCTGCAGTATGTCAAGGAAGCTTATCTCCATATAAACAGCAAAAAGAGATCTCTCTTGAGTTACAAAGCTTTAACGTTTGTAGTTTAAAAGTTGAGCATTTCTAAAAATGCACTATTTATGTCATTCTGATAAAAAGAGATACCCCATTCTCTTCGGCACCAAGTGATACTTTCAATAGGCTTTAAAGCTGTCATAGGAATAGGAAAAAAGCTGTCATAGTCACAGGAATCGGTGGAAAACTTTTGTTTTTATAACTGTGGAGGGTCCAATTGCAGGGAGCAACTACCACATTATTTGTCTTGAAGATTGTGCATCCATTATCATGAGTGTTTTGGCTACAGTTTGATAGGAAATCAGGTCAGGAGAAGGACCATTTTCCTGAGGGGGGAGAAACAGGGATCGAGGCAGCCAAAGAAAGAGTTCCAGTTAGAAACTTGAGGACATTTTCAGAAAACATGAATACATCCACGGTCTACTAGGGGAAGTACAGCTTTTATTTCCACACTCGTGTAGCCTTTGTTTCTCACAGGACAAGGTGCAGGTCAAAAGAAATGGTTTGGGATACTCTGGTGCTGTGATGGGCACAGATGTAGGTTCTGTGGTTGATTATTTTAAAGCGTTTGTTGTTCTTATTATGGTGTATGTAGAGAGAAACCTTTCTAGAAGACTAGCTGAAGCTTGGGTTTGTTCCCACAAGAGAACCCACTAGAGTGGAAGTGGGATCTTACATGCAAGAGTGCAATGGTTTGCCTTAACATGTAGGAAAGAGCATATGGTTTTGGTAATAGGCTCATAAGAGCAATTAACCTCATAGTGCACTCAGTTGTTAGTCTCAGTTGTTTATAAACTAGGTAATAAAGATATTTTAACGTGGTATAGCTTTATAGGAGGTTAGTGGAATCAGGCTGCATTTTTCAAGTTAGTACCTGTTAGTACTCAGGTGAAGGTACAAGTGATAGAAACATAAAATCAGCAGAGGATAAAATATTCACTGTTATATAGTATATCTAACCAATGAATTTGAGTCACAAATGTATAATACTTTGTATAAAGACAGAAAAATATGTTAAAGGTTTTCATTAGAAGAGGGACTGTTTTCACAGGATGCAGTCACAGATCTGTCATTCAGCTTGTTCTTGTCACCTTGGAAGGATTATAATGTAAGCAGTTTCCATGCTCATTTCATGTTAAAAAGAGTTTTAAACTTGCCTTCTTCATGTTGTACAAATACACAGTGTTTCCCTATAATAGCTTCCATGCTGTTGCTCAGGAGGATGAACCTTATAAACAAATGTGTTTCTTTCAACATCAGGTACCATCATTGTCTTCTTTTCTTTTGGTTTAAGGACTGGTCGAAATTAACTCCCTTCCTGCACAAGTTCCAATTTCTCTGTTAGGAGCTACTGATTTGGGAGACGGAGCTTGGGCACAAATAAGCCAGTGACCTGTCCCACCACATACCCACAGAAAGGCCCCTTTGCCTTCCTTCTGTCTGCTCCTTGCACTGCAAGTTGTGTATTCTGACAGCCGTTACTTTGCACTGGGGTCAAGGGGTGCCAAAGGACTTTGCTTGCAGGTATTTTGGTTTCCAGGTTGGGGGGTATGAGGATGGTATTTTTTTATTTGATTCTGCAGCTTCTGACAACCTGCTTTTGGGCTGTCTTCTGTGTGTTTATTGACAGTGTCCCAAAAGAGACCTCTAAATCAGTTCAATATTGGATTTAATTTTAGTTGTGTAGAATATCATATGTTGTGGTTATTAATGTTGTGTCTGTCATTTTTCATTTACTGTTACTTGTCTCATTTTTACTTTGTACTTTGGCTACAGAGATTTTTATTGAATTTAGCTAGTGATAAGCCTAATGAGTTGTTGCCAGTTTTTCTTTATCGTGAATTTTTAAGTCAATAAAACATTTGTGGGGCTGGAAGGACAGAGGCTTCCAGACTTGCAGTCTTGTTTTTTTCTGTTTCATTGGATTGACTGAGCAACGTATTTACTGGTGCATCATTCCTCGAATATGAGGACTCTTTTGCATTATTAGACTTGACAGTGTTTAAACAATGCTAATTCTCATATCCAGCTGGCTTTTCAATTGATTTCTGTGCTCTCTGTTGCTGCGTAAAACAAGCTGGAACGTTAAAGACATCTTACATGCTACCCTCTGGAGACTTGTCTTCCTTTTAGAGAAAAATCAAATAAGTATAAAATTTGCTGGGTTTTCTCCTTTTGTTTTCCACTGGATCTTTAAATGATGTATCAGTGTATTGACAAATTTTGTACATGTTAAGATGCTAATTTAAAAATTATACATTTAAAAATCAGTATTCATTTTAGAGTGAGATTTGCTAGATTGCTCATTTGTTTACAGAACTAAGCATGTGCCTCTTTTTCATCGAAAACAAAATATTACTACCTTTAAAATTATATTTAAGATGTACATAAAATTGCCATTTTAACCCAGCTAAAATCTTGCATATTTAAAATTTGATTGCTAAACAGCCAAAAGAACATTGACAGATGTTAGTCATTTGTTTTGCAAGTTCACTTTTCACAGTATTGAAGCAGCCTGCTGTTTTGAGCTAAATATTGAAATCAGAATTCCCAGGGAGAGCGAGGGGTAAAGCATTTTCTGTCCCATAAATGTCAACGTTGAAGTCATACCTTTCAGCAAATCAAAGCCTTAAAACATATGCTTCTGAAAAACGAATTTGCTCTGCTCTGTAGCAGTCCGTAGCTCATGGGGGACGAGGGAAGCTGTGCTGAGCTCTCCTGCTATTTCCTGTGTCCCAAAACGTGCTTCAACCACTGCAACCAGGGGACATGGTGACTTCTGACATGACTCTGCTTCCAGTTCTTTAGGGGCCGCTAAATTTCACATGAATGTAAGCTAATTGGGAAAGGCTAAATATTTAAGCCCAAACTTGGGTGCTTGTCCACAGGTCCTCCCCAGACGCTCAGGTAGGCCAGCAGCTGGCGAGGACAGCAGGGTACTGGTTTGGGGCTGCCAGTTCTCCTGGGTCAGATGAGGGCAACAGCCTCTCGTAACTGCCTGCTCACAGGGGAGGAGTGGGGCCCGGTTCGTAATGTCAAGGAATCAGTGCTTGCTGATGAAAATACTTAACATTCTTGGCTAGGATCTCTTCTATGATCTTCTCGCTTTTTGCACAAAAGCCATGTAGCCTTCCCTCGTACTCTTTTTCGCCTCTTGAGTAAAACATTTGCTGATATCTGTTTAACCCAGTGTTGTGAAACTCCATGCGGTGCATGCAGAGTTACTTGGGGTCATTATAAGAAATGCTTTATGAATAATAAATATTTTGATCACACAGTAGTTCATTCACTTTTTTTGTTTTGTTTTGTTTTTAATTTTCTACAGCTGGTCTAAAAATCCAGAAGAATGGAAGTTTCAAAAAACAAGACAAACCTGGCTTCTCTTGCACATGTATGATAAAGAGAAGGTTTGTATTAACAGTATTTTTTTCAGAATTAAAATTTTACACGGTTTAATAAGCTAGTTGTAGTTATTGTTTGTTAATAAAAAGTTACTAGCATTAACAATGCTCTTTTCTAATAATTTTAAATAATAAATCAATTAACTATGTTTTTAACTAAAATGCTTAACCATTTTAATTGCTTGTAATTTAATGTTTCTATTTTGGGGGGTGATCATTCTTCTTTGTATCCTAGACTTTTACACTTGATGCATGTGAAACATAGAAAGGATTGACATTATATAAACCTGAAGCTATTCCCTGAAGTGGGAATATATTTGCACTGTGTCCTTCAGTTGAATTTCTGAACGTGGAACCCAGTGCTGTAAGCTACGGTTCTTGTATTGCTTCAGATATCTCGGGCTCCATGGAAGATGTACAGACATATTGCCAAAATGTTAAAATAGCTTTCTCATTAAAATATGAGTGAAACCTTATGTTGATTGTAAAAACCATAAAGTATAACCAGAAGCTAGGCTTGCATCATCACTGAAATCCATTCATTTCATAACTTAAAAAACAACCTAAATTTAATTTCCAACAAGCATCTGACCATTGTAGTACAGAACAGAGGATTTCAGATCATTAATTTTGTTGTGCAATAGAACAAACATCTAGTCGTTTGCACAGTGGCTTACTTATTGATTCATTTAGTTGACATTCACTCAGATTTTGCTGACTTTTTGTGTGCACTTGGACATTTAAGCATAACAATCTTCCTGACCCAGATTACTCTGCGGCTCTTAAGCCAACCACCTGACATAGGGTGTTACCTTTACGATTAAAAGTACATTTAGAGAACCGTGTAATTAAAACCAGAATTTCATGAAAGCAAAAATGTTCACACGGTGGAATACTTTAAAAAGATTAGTTGCAGAATACGAATTTGTTAGTAGGTATCTTTTATTCTTAAGTGTCTCCTTTAAAAGTCTTTATCAACCTTTTGAAATCGATGTGTGCTCTTTAAAGCTACCTAGAAATTGTTTTATAGGCAGAGTGACGTTTTTGCTTTTTTACCTGTTTACTTTGGGATTTGTTTTGAAATATAGTGGGAAATAATTAACTATGAGTAGATTTTTTTTCGTATATCAAAATACAGTTTTACTCCACATTTCTCAACATTGAAATTAAAGCTTCCTTTCTAGTATTTTTTTTTAATCTGATGAAAGCATAATGATTTATTTATATTCACATATTTTGTACTGTTTAGTAATAGGAGATGCATTGAATATGAGCTTTAGATAATGATTAACATCTGCATTCAGATTCAGTAAAGTTAGCAGAACGGCTCGAGTGCTTATAATCAAACATGTGACGAAGCCTTTTTCTTCATCAAGACTGGGGAGGGCAGACCGGCTTCTTTTGAATATGTTTTTATACCCAAATCCAGCTTCCTGTCCATTACAGAATAAAATCTGTTGGATATCCAAGCATGACTAAAATACAAAAGGAGACATGAGTTTCCTTCCTTCCTAAGCCACATCTTTGATCTCTTGGTGTCACTCGTATGCCTACTGAAAAGCCATGCCAAGAGGTAAATTAAGTTTCCTGTACTGATGCTCTTCTTTCTGTAGGAAGTAAGTTGAGGTTTTGTAGTCATTTACAATGTGAATTTATTTTTAAGTCCCTTTAACATCCATCTGCGGGTTGGCTGACAGCTTCAAAGCCCAGCCTGTATACCTACGGTGTGTATACTTCTTCAGGATCCTGTACAAAGTAAACACTGCTTCCTCTGTTATCTTTGCCATTTGGCACAGCACTTTTAGAAAGTCACTACACAGATTGTCTTCAGCTTCTGGACTGCAAATCCCTGGGGGGGTTCTGAAGTTTCCTCAGAAGGTAACAGAAAAGCCAGCTTGGTGTCAGCAAGCTGACGCTCACTGCGCAGATATCTCTATTTGCCTTGCAGAATAGGTGGGCATCTGCAAGTCTAAAAAGTCTGAAAACTTCTTGAATTACAAAGGGTAATTTAAAAGCAATACCTGTTCTTTTTCTGCTGTTATTTAGTAGTGTTTCCCCCCTTTTCATGATGTCTTACAGTTCCTGAGCATTCAGGAGCTGACAGTAATTATTTCACTTGGAGATGTTTCCATGTTAGCCAGTTCCAATGCATATTAAGTAGAGCAGAGGCAGGGTTGGTGGAGAAAAAGAAAAAGAAGCAAGAAAAAGTGCAAAACAGTGTAAAACAACCATAGTAATAATAAAAAATCCCACTTGCCATCACTTCCACTGGCCAGAGACATAGTGAGAGATGTTAGTATCCAACTTCAAGACTCCCCAAAAGTTGATCTTAGAGACGGACTGTGTTTCTTTTTGTAAAACCTCACCAAGCGTCCCTGAAATTACATATTTTTTTTTACTGTATTTTAAGAATTAAGATGTTGATTTAACCAACTTTTTGCTGTCTTTTTTTTTGTTGTTGTTCTGGTTGTCCAGTCCTTGCTATGACCCAATTGTATAAGGTAGGAGGAAAAGATATTATTTTGTCTACATGTTCCTGTATTGAAATCTCTTGCTGAAAAAATAAAACAACAAATAATTGTGTTACAGAAAAACAAAACAAAACAAAAACAAACAACAAACAAAAAAACAGACTTTGAGCACTTGTGTGCTTATGCCTATGGCCAAATGCTTTATAGACCTCAGGCAGGCACACGTCTATCTGCACACTTAGTGTTTCGAAGTTCAGAGTAGGCTTTTAATTCCCCCTTTAAGCACTTTGCTTAAATGATATAGTAATAACTGTAATTCTACGCAGTGAACTATGAGTGTACCACAAGGCCTGAGAACAAGAGGCATAAATTATGTAGATAATTTGGCTAAGGTTTGAAATCTAGAAATGTTGCTGAGCTTTAAAAAACCGACGCTGAGTATCTGCATTAAAGGAGCACAGTTGTGCTGAAATCGTTTGCATCTGAACATTTTTGTCTGTTAGCAGCACATGTTTACTGTGTGTAAAAATGCTTTCAAAAAGTAGGCATTTTTCACTATTCTTCAATGTGTTGGATAAGTATATTGCAGCAACACTTCGTATATCATCAATTTCAGCGTTAGTCACTCAAAAATTAATATTTTTTGTATCTGAATTGTTTCTTTAACATAGGAGTGTTTGTGTGAAGAATTTAAAGGTTTTCCATAGTGTATAAGTTATGAGGCTGGATGTAGACTTCAGTTTTGATTTACTGCTCTGTAGTATCTCTGATTGATTAAGGCAGCCCTGGAATATTTTCTTCCTCTTCGTTGAGAGTGATAGAAGTTTTAGCGATCAAAGTTACACTGCCAAATGGTGATGGAGAAATAAGTTGTAAATTAAGTATCTGTTGAAGCTCTGTCTTCTCTGAAATGTTGATACTTTGCAGAATTGAAACAGCCCTCGCACAATTAGTCTCCAATCCTTTAAATACTTACGTATGTTTAACTTTACTCATGTTGAGTGTGCCTTTTAAAGTTATATGTGTAAAGTTAAACATAAAGAAAAATATTTGTGGGATTAGGTCATTTTAACATCTGATTCGCAGCTAAAATATTCTCTTATTGGCTGCGACTTGTTCCACAGATACGCAACATAAAGTTAAGATATGCTTCAGTGTAGGTCTGTTCACCTAATACTTTTAAAAATGCATCGTTTTGAAATACTGAATAAATCATTGAAAAGTCTTTGCTAGGCTATTGCCAAGATTATTTAATGTAGTTGTATGTTGTACCAGATAAGCTAAAATTTAATCTATTGCTAGTTAATTAGAAAGGAAGTAAAATGGGGGTAATGGAACTGTAGATGACTAAACTGCTTTTGATGTTAGACATATTAAAAGAGCCTATCAGTTTTAGTCAGCGTGATTTAAAAATTATTTCCATATGTCTGAATTCAATTTGTTTTTCAAATTAAATTCTATTCCTTTGTATAAGCATTCTGTCAAAGTCACAATCTGCTGTTTGCTGGTGGGTGGTATCTCATCTTAGCAAACAAATAATTTTGGCTGGGGGTGAGGATACTTCTAGCAAAATTCTTTCCTCAGACATGTGCATGCAGTTCTCCCTGGGTTTGGTAAGGTTTGCATGCATGTTTCCAAAGCCAGGATTTGGCTAGTGCATTTTTTTCCTTCCAACAGCCCTCACAGGCTGGAGCTCTCTCTCAGGCAGTGTTTGCATTTGCTGATCAGCATTTCCACATCTGCTTAGCATTTCCCCTCAGATGCTTTGCCCATCTGAGCACATGACAGCGCTCTCACCATGGTCCATCCCTCCCGGCAATCCCAACACTGGCAAGAAGTGCTTCCATTAGCAGTGGGCATTGCCAAATGCAATAGCCCGTGAAATTCTCCTAATTATCTTTCAGGTGATGGTCTGACGTGATTATGAATGAACATTGAGAGAGAAGAAAATAAATCAAAAATTTTTTAATTCCTTCTTTGTTTGTTTTCTTTTCTTTAAAGGTTCCAGATGAGTATTTCACCATTTTACTGGATTATCTGCAGGGACTTCAAGGCAAAGCACGAGACACAACTGTGCAGAAAGCTGAAGCTCTTATGAAGGAGTTGGACGGGTCAGATGCAGAAGACCCGAGCATGGTAGAGAAGAGCGAGCGAATACGACAAGTTCTGCAACTGCTGTCCTGAGTGTTTTTGTGTCTTGATAGTTGTCTGGTGGGAGAAGGATAGAACGTAATGAACAGATACTACAAATCAGTTGTAAAGACATATTTTGATAATGAATCTTTATGCTAAATTTTCATATTTTGCACTTGTGTTTTCCAACCTCAATTATTTATAATGTTTTTAGGTGATGAAATCAAAACAGAACACCGTATTTGATCCACAGACATGCTGTTTTGATTAAAAGTAATCTTACTGCATATCTTTAGAAAAATAAACCTCTCTTTCTTGTTATTTTTTCTCCACTTCCCCATGTAATTAATGTTAAATAAGAGGAGCTTTGCAGTTCTTAATAAGAAGAGCAAAGCAACCAACAAAAAGCCTGGAGGTTCTTTTACAATGGCAGCTTTTAAAATTAACATACAGTACAGTGCCTGCTCAGCCAGCTGTAATCTATCACTTTCAGCTTTAGAAGTATGTCATTTGGATTTGGGAAAGATCATTTTCAGTCTGTTGAACACGGGTTGTATAACACAGTTGCTTATTAGTACTTCACGCAGCGATCTGAAGATACCATCAGCTTTGTTAGTTTTCCTTGTATATTTTAAAGGTTTCAAATGCTTTATGGCAATTGTTTAGATATTCAGATAATGTACAGATGGGGACAGATCAAACCCTTTGACCACATGTAGTGAAATCATCTGATTGTACATAAACTTATGCTAAGATGAGAAGTGCCATGCTGCAACTTTTTGTGGATAGCCTGCCAATGTTACATTTTTTATCTTTCTCTTGTAATTGGCATCCAAAAGAGTTAATTTGTGTTCATTTGCTTTGACATGGGATATTTGTCTCCTATGAATATGCTGAAAATGAGGCTTTCAAGTAAAAAACAAGGACATTAATTACTCAAAAGTTGGATGATTGGCGTATTTAATAACACTTGTGTTCAGACAGTGTTCTTGACCCGATTCTTTAATCTTTCTGCAAACGTTGTTCTTACTTTATTAATAACAACAGTATGAAATGTGTGGTATTTTGGAAGAGTAGCTGTCTTTGGGAAATACTGCTTTAATTTGAGTGGGTGAAGGAGAGGAGAATCTATGGATATGCTGGCCTAATTTTTCAATAGGCATTTGAGTGGATTTGACAGCCCTCACAGTCATGGATTACTACAAATCTTTAAAAGTATGAAATTTATTACTAGTAACAAATAACTTATGCTTTCTGACTTATTAAATATGATGTTTTCAGACGAAAAAGACTAGAGAGCAGCGTGCCCTGCTTTAACACAATAATTGTGATGGAGTTAACACAACGGGGAGCAGACTGCAGCAGAAGTGACCAGCCTCTGTTGAGCTGCTGATGGCTCAAAAACATTTCAGGATGACCATTGGATGTGGGCTGTGGAGCTAGCTCTCTCGGAGGATGCATGCAGTGTCAAAGCAGGGATTTCCAAAGGGCTGGAAGAAAGGATGGCACAGGTACAATGCAGGAGGAAGGAAGACATGCAGACAGGTATGAGGGAAGATCACAGATGAGTTGATGCTCTCAGTGAAGAGTAAGCTTGGGCAAATGAGGGGAGAAATTGCAGAAGTATAAGACAGAAATGCAGGTTTTCACAAAGTTGAGTGAGCTCACATGCAGGACCACCCTAATATTGTAGCTGTCAATTTAAATGATCTTGTTTCTTCCCCTGTCCCCTTTGCTTTCTCTTTTTCTACCACTGATAAGGTCACGAGCTGGAAAGATCTTTCTGAGTCCCAAGGCTGTATAAAATTGTTTCCAGTGCAAAAGTCAGTGAAAAGGATCTGTAATAAAGGGAAGTGATACTGACATTAAGTGAACTGGTACAAGATCTTTGGATCTTCTGTTTTATGCCTGAGAATGTGCAGCTGAGAAAACCTGATGTTAGTAGAAGCAGAGGCTGATGCTTTTTTTCTCTCCATGAGAAGGAAGGATGAATTTCTAATGGATGAAGTTTTCAAAGCATCTTCTTGTGATTTTATGATTGCATTTTAGGTGTCAGAGAAGACTGTGTGTTCTGTCTTAGATATTTGAGAATCACCACTTTCGATTTTTCTATTACACAAAAACATGCATCCTCATTGTGCACTTCTTACACCTTGTAGCTTAAAAGCACAGCACGCTGCAAGCATATTCTGGAAGAGACTTGTAAAAAGGATTGCAAAGATAAGGCCCAGGTGAAAAGATGTGAACCTTTTATCAGCATGATAGATTTAGTAAGATTTGCCTTCCTTGAACCTTTGTTCTGGCTATATGCAAATGCCATCAAGATTAAGAATGTCATATTTCTTTTTACATCAATTAATATTAAAAATATGTAGGGCCTACCAGTCTGCAGTCCGTGTGAACAATAACATGGGGAATAAAGCAGCTAGAGCCTCTCGGCAGTGCGGTCTTTGCTCTCTTCTCCAGCTCAGTTCCAACTTTCACTTCAGTGCTACCAGTTACTGGATGAAGGGTATGGTCTTTGGCTTTCACTTCTTGCAGTTACGGGAAATTCAGAAGCTAACAAATAAGGTGTCTGTTGTTCTGCTGGTGTTTGGTTGAGAAAGCAATGTATCTGCCACATGACTCTTCGTGTGTGGTACTGCTCAAAGGCCAGCAATGTCTGGAAACAGGTTAAAAGGCTTGTGGAACTTCTGCTTTGTGTTGTTACTCTACATGACATGGGCTTTAAAGCTCAGCTGGAAATATTGTAAATATGTTTTTATACTTGGTGTTGTAGTATAAATAGGAAGGGACACTTAAATGGCATTTCACTTTTTTCCTTTCTCCTTCTCTTGAATCTTCAACTAGTAGGCAAAAAATTAATCTTCCAAACACCCATGAAATACAAAAGTAATCACTTTTCTGGGAGGTGTGTGTTGTTAGGCCCATTTAAAAGATGAGATTGTGAGGACCTTACCCAACACAGTGTGCAAATTCAATAGCATCTGTGGCAATCAAATTCTGTCTCTTCAATATGTGAGCCACCAGGCCAGCTTCTGCTTCCTGCTCAGCTTGGGATTTGAATCTAGAAATTTGGATTGTATAATGAATAAATTTAGTCGGATTTCCTTCATGATGTAGTTTAAATTATATATTTTAAATTATTAAATGTATAATACCACTATTGAATTCCTGAACCTGGTCAAAGCTGTGAAGGAAGTGACAATCTGTCACTTCATTCATTTTATTCTGTCATTTAATCACCTAGAATTTTCCAATTTTAACATTAGTTGTAGCTTAGCCAATCATATAGATACAGATAGGACAAAATGGTGTCTGGGTTTCCGTTTAAATGTCTGCTGTGTTCATAAAACTTGAATCCAAGGCTAGAAGTAACAGTGTGTACAGTCTGACAAATGACATCTTCATCTGCCTACTCTAATTGTCTTCTAGTTGGGCTAATCTGCATTGTGTAGCTCCAACTAGAAGAATTCCTATCTTAAGAGAATGCTGAAGTCAGGGCTTCTAGGCAAAATAAAGGAACATTAATTACTCAAAATTGCTTAAAGCTGGAACTGTGCCTCTAATGACAGTACTAATTACTCAAAATCTGACAATGTAAAAAGTTCCCTTTAATTTGGCTGATCCTTCCCATGGAGTTTATATCTTCTTGGCTCTCCAGTGTCTGCCCACAATTTTAATTTGTTATCACCATTGTAAAATTACTGAGTAAATGAATTGTCTCTTCTTATTTGGAAAGGATAGATCATAGCTGTTGAATGTGTAGTTTATTTCAATATTTTGTCCCTCTGGATAATAGCTCTGCTGTGTTTTTGTTAATTTAAGCAACGTTAAATTTGTTAACTTTTGTTAAGTTAAGCAATGTGACTCTTGTCTTGTCTCCTACCATTGCAGGTAGCTTAGAAATACATTTCTTTGGTTCAGACTTGATAGCTCTTTTTTTTGTTTGTTTGGTTGGTTGGTTGGTTTGTTTTGTCATTTTCCTTAATTTTGCCACTAAGTCAGAGTCAGAAAAAGCAATAATAAGAGATTTAAGTTGCAAAGTCAGCACACAGAAAATTAGAAAACATAAGAATGGAAATTGTCTATGTAATTTTAATTTTACTCCTTCATGCATATGTAATATGGTGCATCAGTACTGTATTTTCCATTACATATAACTAATAAGTCATTCATTCAGTGTTTTCCTAGCAATTCTGCTGCTATTCTTATTTTCAAAATTTAGTTCTACAAAGTAGTATTAAAACCAGAGAAGTCACTTTGCTGTGTGGATTTGATCCTGCAGAGAAGGAATTAGTAGAAAGTTTCCTATTCATTTCAGTAGGTGTAGCAGCTAGCCACAGAATTTTCATCACAAGCATTCCCTTTAAAACACATTTTAATATTTTAATTCATTTACAGTCAAAATACTGAATTGATGTTACTTAATTTAAACCCAGTTTTGTTGACATAAAACTTTCCAGTGGCTTATTCTCATTTAGTCTTTGGTTTCCTTTCAAGTCTTCCTTTCTGTATGGCTGAATGAGCTAGTTATTTCTGCCTCTGCAAATAGGAATATTAGTTGTTTACAGTGATTCCAGTCATACAAGGACACAATTAAATGTCCTTGCCTTTGCAGCACAAGCTGCTTTTAGCCGTGATTTATAATTACATTCTATTTTAATTTCTTCGTAAGAACTTACATAGTCAACAACTTAATATGGTCAAAAATAATTGTTTTTTAAATTATGTTTTTTTCCTGCAGCGAGCGGGCACTACCGAACTAAATAAAACTAATGAATAAGTGAAGGGGGAAGGGCAAGGCAAAACAGTGGTTTATCTTTCTTTGTCAAAACAAAGCTGAATAAGAAGCTTGTGCTACTAGGAAGGTTTGGCTGATGTTACAGACACGGAGGGAGGGACCTTAGGATAAAAACAGAAGAGCAGTCATACAGTTGCTCTTACTGATTTTTCTTTTTTCCTGCATACAGAAAATTTTTGGCATTCCCCAACAAAACCCACAAACACACCTACGTCAAAAATTTAAATAGGTTTTGAAATCAAATACTTGAAGCTCAAGAAATGCCACATGTATATAAATGGCCAGAAGAATTCTAATTCTACCTCTCCAGGCCTCCAACCTGGACACTGAATGAAAAGGGATTGTGTTAGAAAGAAACAAGCAAAAAAACCCAAAGTATGTGAGCGCATAGTTGAAGCTTGTTACCAATCATGCTTGCATGCACAGTGAGGAGGACTTACATTTCCTATTCGTTTTAGTTATTTGGATTTTTTAAGAAGGTTTGCTGATAATTGAAGTATCACATAGCCTTTTGCTGTTACAACTGACATCTGTTTTCTTCATGGTCCCATTGTATTTATAAAACCTTAAGCCTTGGGACACAGGGTCTGTCACTCTCATTTGCTTATAAATAGTTAGGGCTAGCTGTGGCCCTGTGAAAATAATCATTTGTTGTTGAGCTCCTTTGGACCCAAAGAAGGATGTTGAAAGTGCGTGTTTCCCTGTACTCTTCTAGAGATATAACAGACTTTGGCAGCATCCTTTGTATCAGCCAGGCCTTCTTAAGCTCCATGAAATTGCCCAAACGTGGTACAGCGTTGCTGTGTAGAAATTTGCCAGGCAACCCACAGCTCTTATCTGTGGGGCACTTTGAGACACGAGGCTGCAGGGTCTCAGCACCCAGCACAACACCTTCCTTGGCCTCACCGCCCATTTTCAGTCCTGGGCTGTTGAGACTTGCAACCATTTTATTTGTCTACTCCTTTGTGGGCTTAATTTGACTAAACAAACTGGTTTACAAGTTCTTTTGGCATACTGAGAGCTTGAGCTGCAGCCGTGGTTTCTCTCTGGTAGCATAGATACGTGTAAATAGACTTTATGGATTTTACAGCTCGTGCTTTTTATTAGAAGCAGAAGCTCTTGCAGGATCCTGGAAATGACTGACCAGCGCCCTGATTTACCTTGTTAAACAAGATGGGTATTTCCATGAGCTGTCACAAATGCATGCCAGCAGATAGACAGGACTGCAGCGAGCCAAGAAACCAAGTATGGGCATCGAGCATACCAGAGGGCAAGAGTGACACTCAGGAATGTAACCTCCTGAAGTTCCCTGGTTAAGGCAAGATGCCACCTGGCACGACTCCTGGCTGCTGTAAGTTTAAAAATAACAAATAGCATCCCTATTACATAAGGAAATCTTTTGTCCATGTTTAATGGGGCAATTTGATAGGAGAGAAAGAATAAACATGTAGCTTCTCTGAACTCTTACTTGTGGTTAGTGCTCAGGGCCAAAACAACTGAAAATACCACGGCTGATTGTAAGCAGGCACCCGCACACAAACCGCTGGCACTGAGCAGATGAAACCGGTGAGAAATTCCAGTGTCTGAGCCTGCTCATCAGTGGCATCCCCCCCAGTTCACAGCCCTGGTGCCAGCTCAGCCCCAGGAAGGACTTCAGTGCCTTTAGTGCTGATGGAGTTACCAGAGCATAAATACCTCAGAAGTGTGTGCATAGCCAAAGCAGCCTGTAAGCCTCTGGAAGGCCACAGTGTCTCGGTCACATTCTGCTCCTTATCACCATCAAATAGATAATGAAGAAGCGGCTGAAGGTATTGTGGATGAAACTGAAACTTCTCCCAGTGGTGTAAGCTGTTTTCACCACAGGCCAGGTCAGTACGGCTGTTACGTGATAACCTTTACCAACATTGCTGGGAAGCTTCCCAGGCCTGTTGTTAGCAGATGGTCCTCACACGTCTCTTCTAGGTCCTCAGGTCTACTCACACCCTCTGTCCTCCCAGAACGGGCTGCTTCCACCACCCATCTTTTTGTGACAAAGTGCTTTCTGGTGCTCCTCACTTAAGTTAGGAGGGCAGAAGGCATTTGAGATTTAAAGGCATCAAGATATCCTATTCTGTAAGAACTGAATTATCCTTGTTTGGAAGAGGTGATGCTGTCTGATCCTCATCCCGGGCTGTGCTGACTGTTAGAGGTCCTGGAGGATGTCAGAGGTTGTTCAAGCACTTTTAAAACTGTGCTGGATGCCTAAAAAGCCTGACCCTGCATGGAGCCTCCTCCCTGTCCCATGGTGTGGTGGGCTCCTTGTACAGCTCGTGCAGAGCACACACCTCCATCACAACAACCTCAGCATGTTGTTGGGTATTTTTGTTGTTACAAAGAAGAAAAAGTTTTAAGTAATTCTGATTTCCAGTGGTTTCAATACGCTGTTCGATCTCAAAGATGGAAAACCTGCCGTGGGCAGATGGGTGCATTATGGATATGGCACAAGTTACCCTCCTTTTCTTCCTGTACAAGCTCCTAAGCAGGTTACAGCTTACTTTAACTGGTGGGTGGAAATGTTCAGCTGACTGAATTAGCAAAGAAGATGAGGAGGAAAATGGTTTGTCAAAGTTAGAAAATGCAGAAGTTAGCTTTTAGTTCCAAACAGGATGGCTATTTTCCAAACAGGCCAGATTTCCTCTTGTCCTCTTCAGGGCAAGATGAAATGGCCTCAAGCTGTGCCAGGGGAGTTTTAGGGTGGATACTAGGAAAAATTTCTTCACTGAACGGGTTGTGAGGCATTGGATCAGGCTGCCCAGGGACATGGTTGAGTCACTGTCCCTGCAGGTATTCAAAAGACGTGTCCCTAGCACCACGCCTAGGGACATGTCATAGTGCTAGGTTAGCGGTTGGACTTGATGATCTTAGAGGTCTTTTCCAACCTAAAGGATTCTGCGATTCTATGATACAGCTACTTGGGGTCTGAGTGTGTGATATTCAAATAAAACTCCTTCAAAAATGATCACCTGTGCAGCAATTTGGCATGAAGTAGCTCTCGGTGCTTTATTATGTCATATTTTCTTCTGCATAGCCAAGGCTGCAGACTGCAGAGCACAGTCTGCGTGAGGAAAACCACAGCAAACTTGCCAATTGTTTCCAGAGATTGGTTCAAACTTAGAAAATATTCATTGGTGCTCTCAAATAAAATCAGGGGTTCCCCTTTTGTTTTCTGAATCCCTTTTTATATTATTTCAGCTGTCTTTGGACAAAGAAAGGATAAAAAAATAACCACAGAGAGATCAGGAGTACATCTTTGACATTGTTTAATAAGAAAACAGTGACTTTTGTTGATTTATTCAGTTAATGCAGAGCAGGCAGTCTCAGTCTTTGTTAGTTTTTTGTGTGTGTGTGTGTCCCAGTGGAAGACGAACACATGGCAGGTGAGTGTGGGTTTGTGTTGTTCCCAACACAAGTGGTATAGATGGTTGCTTCTCCAAGGGAAGAATGAAGGGAATGTGACCAATGCAGTCCTTCTGCAAACAGCACAGCTTATGTGTGTGCTTTTCTGCTCCGCCTGTGCTGATGCTCCCCTTCCTGTTAACAGAACGGTGTTTCACTCAGCAGAGTGGATCAGTCAACCTTGATTTGCATCACTGCTCTGGCAGTGGGGCTCGTGTACCTTGTAAAACTGCTTTAATAGTCAAATTAAACTTTTGACCTGCTGTACAGCTATAAGCCACTGGTGTTGGGAGCCCTGTGCAGGAGTGCTTCAGAGGATGCTCTGCGGACCCCGGCAGCAGTCCTGGTGTGGGCAGCTGAGCTCAGGTAATGGAGAACACGACCTTGTGCTTCACATACATTAAACGGGAAGCAAATTTCACTGTAAGGTTACACTTTGTGAATGATGATTGAAAATGGCAACTGCAGCATGCATGCCTTGATGCCATAGAAATTGCTGATGCCTGGTTTGTTGTTTTTTTAGAGAGCTGAAAGATATTTGCAGTTCAGCCAGTGTCAGGGAGATTATCATCAGTCCTGTGGAACATTTTGCTGCAGAGATTTGAAAATGACAAGGTACCATGTTGTGCTGCTGCAGCCGTACAGATTAAAATGCGCTGTAACTTTTCAGTTTGTTTGTTTTTTTTATA